AGTTTAGTTTTCCGTATATTAGTCATATTATTCCAAAGTATAAAAATACAGACGAATCTTAAAACATCGATGAATCGAATTTTTTCCACCCCCTTGAAGTGTATATAAGTTCCAGGTTTCAGGTAATAAGTATACAACTCGAAAAATATATAAGGCAAATTTATTTTTATTTTTACTTTTATTACTTTTAAATTTTAGCTATTGAAACTTGACTGTATATATTTGTCTAGAGTTTGTTATCCTTGTAATAGGTTTAAACTGAAATAGGTAAAAACAAAAAATAGGTGCAATAAATAAGCCAAGCTTCAGCAAGCGGTAAATATCAGRGCTGCAGAGGTAGTAAAAGCAGGTGTATAATGTGTTATAAGTGTTATAACATAATATTTAAAATATAGCGAGTAGGGACGTACATACCAAAATCGAAAGATGTTTCGGAATAAAAATGTATTAATAATGATTACTTAATTAAATCTTTTCCCTTTAAATCAAACCTTTATATTTCTTTTTTTCTTATGCATAGGGATTTTGAGACCTAAGATAATAGTGTTAATTATAACTTTGATTGGTTATTATTACAATACATATTTAATAGAAATATAAGCATTTATGGTAAAAAAATACACTCAAATTTGAAACTAGTTAAGAAATGGAAACATAATATAGGTATTGTCGAGTGTGGTATTCTTATTGGAATGGATGTAATTATATTAATTGTTGAACTATTTTTGAAAGTTATCGATAAGTCAAATGCAATTAATATGTATTGCAAAACGACGTGTTTTAGAGTCATGTTTGAGTACTATAATTTTATTTCTATAAATAATTTCGACATTGACCAACATTTTTCGACATGCTTCATCAAACAACGTCCAACAAAGCTACCTATTTATAAACGTTGTTGCGTCACCCAACTTGGGGAGTTTCATTCACTTCCCGTTAAACTGAAATCATTATATAGTTTTGTTGGTCGTATAGTGCTACCTATAGTGCTAGAAAACATGAATTTAAAAGTGTAATATTGCTTTTTAATTTTAGTCCCATAAGGCCATAACTGCAGATTCCGACAATATTTTAATAAGACCTGCAATGAGTGTGTAGGAAAGACTTTTCCATCCATTCCAGTACGTTCCCACATGACATACATTTTACAGTAGCACATTCGCGTCTTGCAAGTTACAAACGCCTTAATACGATAAATATATATATACAGAGGTTATAATATTCTGTATATTATATAACGAAACCGCGCAACACTACTGAAAGGCGGCAGCGGGGGATAAAAGATAAGCTACGAACATGCCACGGTGTTTCGATATCGACAAATCTATTAACGCACAAAATTTAAACATCTATAAAAATACGCGACGGGTGTGCGTGTGTAAGCGATCAAGTTTGGCGACTCACTGTACAGCCGAATCGTGCCGTCGGTCTCGCCACGTGAGTTCTTCGCCACGCACTTGTACACTCCGTAGTCGGTGTGCGACACGTCCACKATGGTCAGCTTCATTTGTACCTTATACGACGGCACGCCCTGTATGGACACGGCCTTGTACTTGTTACTGTCGTGTAACATCTGTCCGCTGTCTCTGGTCCAGTAGTGCAGTGACGTCGGGTGCGCCTCGGTGTAACACTCCAGTGTCACGTTGTAGCCCAGCGGCACGCCGACCAGCTGATGCGGTATCCACAGCATCGGCGGGACTGTCATGGAACACGAAATATCACATTATTGTTATAATTTGGTATAGGACGACATAATAAGCTATTATATTGTTATACGACATAAACCATATTATATTTATAAATACTGTGTAGGATCAATACATTAGCTGTGAGTTTAAATTACCATAATAAAATGTTATTATTGTAGCCTGTAGATACGAATTACATAATATGTTATCGTTTTTAAAACTTAGTCAACTTATAATAAAATAGGTATCATTATGACGTTTAAGCAATAAATAACGACGTCAAGTTTTCCGCAACCATATACGGTATAATAGTAAAATATTATGGTCGTAGTAGTCGAGGACGAAGGCCGGACGTGTTTGGGCCACGTGATTGAGAGAGAAGGGTTCAAATATCAAATTTTATCAATCCGCCAAACATTACGTACATCATGTACAGAGTATTATAAWAAACAATGATGACGCGAAAACATTGCTGGTAAATGGTTTCATTTATTTGTAAGAGTTTATTTTTTTTTTATGAATTCGAGTGCACAAAGTATATAGTAGTTATAATTTATTATTTATTGAAAATACAAACAAGTTAATTTATTACGATACGACAATAACTTTGACTTTACGCAAAAAAAAAAAAACCCCCAATAAACGATAACGATCGACAAAATGTGTATGTTACGGTCGTCAGTCAAATAAGGAAAACAATGAGGTTAATGCTGGGTAACGGTCGGGTGCGTTTACCAAAAAATTGGGGGTAGGGTTACAAACACAATGCTATGGTGACATTGCTCATCAACATCGTAGTTATGAATTATTAATCTTTTATACCTATTAAATATAGAACCGAATAAAGAATAAAGTATTAAAATGTTAAATTTAATTCATGAATGTCATCGTCTTAAAAAAAGTGATAAAAATCAAATTAGGTTAATTTTTCTCGCAGAGCAATGTATTCAMGATTACAATTTATCGTACACATTTATTATTGTTTATGTTATACAAGGAAATAAATATTATACTCGGGTACCATATTATAATATTATGCACGCTGAATTGCATCATATTATACAGTATGTAACAATGAACATTGATAACTTATAATAATACGATTTACTATAGGTATGTACCTAATAACTTTTATTTTAATCTTAAATGTAGACATCATAAAAGATTATAATATGGTTATCGTTATATATTATGTATATGAATATAATATATTGACAAGAAGAAAAAAATGATGTTCTTGTTTTGGACTTGAAGTTAATAAATTACATTTTTCATCATATCCTTTGTGTGTCAACTATTATGATATTATTACGTATTATGTATTTAACAGAACTAGGCTGCGCACATAAATATGATATCGTAAACCGTTATACTGCAGTTTACTAAAATTATTATAGCATATTAAATATCCTAAACTAATTTGAGACCAAAATAATATAGTTGAAGTGTATTGTATGCGAAACGCGATAACGTAAACGTCTTGCAGTAGAATGTTCGCATAATTTTATCAATTGGCCTTATATAAAAACTAGCTGTTTGGTATTCATTGAGTATCATGCCCTGTAAATCTCAAAAGCAAAATGAATAATTGTGCAACAGTAGGAATGGTTTTAAAAACTATATAAAAAACGATTAACCATCATATAATATGAATTATGTTGCCGCATGAAAAAGTTTTAAAAGGTAATATATTCAAATCAAAAATATGATACAATTTACCATTTATTACACTATATATTAGGTGTGTGTGTGTGTGTGTGTGTGTGTGTGTGTGTGTGTGTTGTGTATATCATAGTCAATCGAAAATTTTATAATACAATTTATTAACTATACATTATGACGAGGTATATAAATAATAACCAATATAATATAATCAATGCATAATATTGTTAAAATTTCGAT